AGTCGTTTTCTTCAGCATAAGGCTCCCTTACAGGTCTTATTTCCTGAGCGGACCTTTTTCCGGTCCCCCCTCGTGTTTTTGGATGCACATGTTTTGTTCAGGATCGGTCTCCTACTCGTCATAAACTTGATGATAAAGCGATTCGTTGTATCTTTGTGGGCTATTGTCATCAATCTAAGGGGTATCGATGTTATGATCCTATTAGGCGTCGTATGTATCACAGTCTAGATGTTACCTTTCTTGAGCATATTCCTTATTTTCCTTTCAGTCCTTTGTCTGCCCCTCCAGTTGATGATACTCCCTTTGATTTTCCATTACCACAAGAGTCAGAGTCATTGATCACTATCCCTACAGGGTCATCCGTTTTTCCTCCAAAGGAGTCACTCATCCCTGTCAGTACAGAGTTACCAGTCTCTCTTCCTTTGCAGGTGTATGCTCGTTGTCCTCGCTCTCATCACCCTGCTGATATCCCCTCTACCTCAGGCGATGCAGGTAATACTTCTCAGTTTGTTGAGCATATTGATGCACCTGTTGTTAGTACTGATGAGATTACAGGTGCTGAGCCAGTTACTTTACCTGATAAGATATTATCAGTAGAGGATGGTGATTTAGGGCGTCGTTATCCAAGGCGTGATCGCCGTCCAGTTGATCGATATGGTTGGACCGCCAAGATTTTATATCCGATCTCTGCTTATGTTTCTTATGGTAATCTGTCTCCCACATTTCGAGCTTATACTATGGCCTTATCAGATACGCTGGTTCCTCGCTCTATTTCGGAAGCTATGCGGGAGCCCCAGTGGGTTCTTGCCATGCAGACAGAGATGGACGCTCTTCAGCGTAATCATACATGGGATCTTGTCTCCTTACCTTCAGGGGTGAAGCCTGTTGGCTGTCGCTGGGTTTACACCCTGAAGTTTCTTGCAGATGGTACTATTGATCGTTACAAGGCTAGACTTTTGGCGAAGGGCTTTACTCAGGTACCAGGTCGTGATTTTGGTGCTACATTTGCCCCGTGGCAAAATTGACTACTGTTCGGTTAATTATTTCTCTGGCTGCGGAGTACTCTTGGCCTCTTCATCAATTAAATGTGAAGAATGCGTTTCTTCACGGTGATCTGGACGAGATTATTTATATGGATGCACCACCGGGCTTTCGTGGTGAGGGGGAGTATGCTGGAAAGGTATGTCGACTGCGTAAGTCTCCTTATGGACTGAAACAGTCGCCACGAGCCTGGTTCTCTCGCTTCAGTGATGTAGTCATACGATTGGGGTTCACCAGGTGTCATTCTGATCATACCTGCTTTATTCGACGGAATACTTCTAGACAGTGTGTCATCCTTCTGGTATATGTTGATGATATTATTATTACTGGTGATGATGTTTTTGGGACTGCACAGGTCAAGATAGACCTTGGGAAGGCCTTCGATGTGAAGGATCTTGGATTTCTGCGATACTTTCTTGGGATTGAGGTTGCCCGTAGAAGCAGAGGTATTGTTCTTTCTCAGAGAAAGTATGTTTTGGATCTTCTTTCAGACACTGGGATGTTGGGGTGCAAACCGGCATCATCACCCATGATTCAAACCTGAAGCTTACTGCTGAAGGTGAGGAGTTGAAAGATCCGACAGTTTATCAAAGATTGGTAGGTAGACTTATCTACTTAGCCAATACTAAGCCGGACATTTCATTCGCAGTCAGCCGAGTTAGTCAATTCATGCATAGGCCATGTCAGCCTCATCTTGATGCAGTTTATCATATTCTTCGGTACCTCAAGTCTTGTCCTGGACTTGGGCTATTTTATGCATCACGATCTCAGACCGGTTCTCTAGCCTGTTATTCAGATTCAGATTATGGGGGAGCATGTGATGGTCGATCTACTACGGGTTTCTGTACTTTTCGAGGGACTCATCTTATCTCTTGGAAGAGCAAGAAGCAGACAGTTGTCTCCCGCTCGTCCGCAGAGGCAGAGTATCGGGCATTGGCACTGGGCACATGTGAGATTATCTGGCTACGATCGATTCTTGACGAGTTGGGTTTTTCAGTGACCTCTCCATCCACATTATATTGTGATAATCAATCTGCTATTCAGCTCGCTTCTGACTCTGTACTACATGAGAGAACGAAGCATATAGAGATCGATGTTCACTTTCTTCGGGAGAAGGTCAGCAGTGGTCTTGTTACTCCATCGTTTGTGGGGACCAGTGATCAAGTTGCTGATGTTTTTACCAAACCTGTCACTCTGTCTATTCTTCGGGACTCCGTTGTCAAGCTTGACTTAGTTGACATTTTTGGCGCCTAGCTTGGGGGGGAGTGTTGGAGTATAGATAGTCTAGTTTATTAGGATTTCTTTTCCCTTTTTTACCCTTACTATGATTTTTATATTTTGCCTAAACTACAAGGATGTTTAAGTCACTCTGTATTATTTTTGGATATATATACGGGGCTCTACTCTTAATTTGAGAATCCCTTTTCACTTACGTTTATTCCAAGTCACCAAAGCAATAGATAGATTAAATTAAGGATTGAAGAAGGTAATTGGAATGAGCTTTTGATATGAGTCAAGAGAACCATAACAGAGCAGAGATTGCAATTACTTCTAATTGGAGGGCCGAAATTGTCATTTGAATTCAGATCGTTTTGATTTGGGATATTAGAGAATTGAGGATGAAGAAAATAAATACAATTTGATTTACTTTTGAAAGTATTTTCTTATTTTTATTTTATAATTTACACTTTTGATGACCTAATCTTTTGTTTTTTTTTACAGTTAAAAAATTTGTTCTTAACTTTAAAACAATGAAACAAAGAATACACATACTTATGTGGTTCACTAAATTGCTACAGCAGCTCTCTAAGACTTCAATGTACAAGTACCTACACCAAAACATCGTGAAGGATTAAGTGAATTTAATGAAAGGTAATAACACAAGACAATTCACTGAATGGTTTTGACTTTACCAAAGGAGTATGAAATTAATAAGGTGTAACTGCTTGAGCATTGAGTGTTTTGCCGCTTGAAGAAGTATGTGAGAGTATCAATGTTGAGCAGAAGTGGAGTTGAAACAACCAAGAACACATCCCCCTTTCCTTAGCAGGGCTTGAAGGGCTGGACGGTTTTCCTTTCCTGTTCAGTATTTTAATTCCAAGCCGAAATAGGAAAAGCTTATGTTCACTGTATCACAGTCTCAATTCAGTTACAAGTTACAACTCATGTATTATTATCATTTGAGAACTTTAATCCTTATAACATTACATATTATTCAATATACATTGAAAATTTCTCAATGTATATATCGTACCACGAGGACAGGTCATTAAACTTTTGGGTGTGGTAAATATGAGTCCTCGACTATCCCAACAATATTAGTGTGTCACTTCATGGGTATAGGATGTTGTGTAAATTTCTTCTTTTCTTCTTTGTAGGGGCTTCTAGCATTGACATCAACAGCACTGGAATGGCATTGGATTCCTACAAAGAGAGCCAGCTCCTCTTCATCACTCTTTTTGTCTCTCTACATGATTTCACTAGGTCAAGGTGCATATAACCCTTCCTTACAAGCCTTTGGAGCAGATCAACTTGAAAATGAAGAGGAACTGCCTTGCTGCAAGAGTTACCAGAATTCTGACAAGAAGTCTTTGTTCTTCCACTGGTGGTATTTTGGTATATGTAGTGGCTGCCTTCTAGGGATCTCGTTCACGTCATATATCCAAGACACAATAGGATAGGGATTGGGATTTGCCATTCCTACAATAGCAATGTCTGCATCAATTGTAATTTTTTCTTGTGGGAGCAGATTTTATACGTATAAACAAGAAAAGAGTTTTGATATTAAGTCACTTGAAAACATAGTTCGAGCCATTAAAGCAACTGCATCGAGAATTATAAATGGTGGAATCAAGATATCAACTAGGAAATCTGAAGTGGTGGAGCTGGAGTAAGTTTTCTCAATTGATTTTGAAGAAGGATTGATTACAATGTTGAACTGATTTAGTACTAATGACAGGGTTTATTATTTAACAGGCTTGAAGAAAGTGGCCTTTGTCATCAAGACATTGATGGAATTGAGGGCTTGGATAAGAACTCGGATGATGGAATTGAAATTGCGAAAGTAGTGCTTCGTCTGCTGCCAATATGGACAATGCTTCTAATGTTTGCTGTCATATTCCAACAGCCCGCTACATTCTTCACTAAACAAGGTACGACAATGAAGAGGAACATAGGTAGCAACTTCAAGATCCCACCAGCAACACTACAGAGTGCAATCACCGTGTCTGTAATTCTCTCAATGCCTTTATATAGAATGCTCTTCATCCCACTCACTCGTCTAATCACACGTAGTGAGAAAGGTATCAGTGTGATGCAGAGGATGGGTATTGGAATGTTTCTGTCAGTTGTTGCGATGTCTATAGCAGCCATCGTTGAAACAGAGAGGCTTGCAATTAGTAGAAAGATGGGGATTTCAGGATCAAATTCAGAAACAGTACCATTAAGCATCTTCTGGTTGTTACCTCAATACATTCTCTTGGGCATTTCTGATGTTTTCACAGTTGTGGGGATGCAAGAGTTCTTTTATACAGAAGTTCCTGTAAAGATGAGGACAATGGGAATAGCTCTATACACTAGTGTTTTTGGGTTAGGAAGCTTTTTAAGTGCATTTCTTATCTCTGTCATCGAATTTACGACGAGTTCAAGAGGAGGAGGAAGACAGAGCTGGTTCTCTGATGATATGACAGAAGCCAGCTTAGATAAGTATTACTGGCTTCTAGCCTTGTTAAGTGCATTAAGCTTGGTAATGTTCATAATTTTGTGCAGATTCCACAAGAGTAAGACATGATATGATGGCTAATTTCTGTGAAAGAAAGCGTATATAAGCTTCAGTATTATTGTTGATGAAAAGTGGGTTGGATGGTTACCTATAAACTGTTGATGGCTTTTTCCATGGTTTGCAGGATTAGAAAACTAATCAAAGGGCCACCAGTTTGCCCGTAGAGGTATTCCGATGCTAAAGTTAGTAAGGGTAAAGTATGTAAGTGATGTAAATATATATTATGCAGTGGTAGTCTCGCAAGTTTATAATAAGAGAGATTATATGTGTTTGGAGGTAAGCCGTCTTGCAAGAATTAATCTCTCATTGGAAAATATAATGTCCTATTGTAGTACATGGTCTTCACTTGGATCTACCAGTAAGTAGTGAAGGTTCATCCTTTATCATAATTTCTTTTTCTTCTTATATTTTTTACCATTTTCCTGCTAAAATGTTGATGAGGTGTGATATAAAAATAGTTGTCTTACATGTTTCTTGTAAAAAATAACAAAAAAATACAAGAAAGTTGTGATTCATAAATAATTTCATATTTTATCCTTATTTTTCTTAAAATATTTTATTAGTTATTAATTTAAAAAATCTTTGTAAGAATTTGGTTAACCATATAATTTAATCCAAACACCTTCGCATTGGTGCTTGCCCAAGAATTAGGTTATGAGCTTTTTAAAATTTTTTTTTTTTAATTATAATACATATATTTTTTTTCTTTAGACTGATTTAATATAATTAAGTGTAAGTTAAATAATAATAAAAAATTCTTGTAACCTTCTTTTCTTTTAAATAATAGAATGATTTTTTTTTTTTAAAAATTTTTACGCAAATTTTTCATGTTAATCAAATATATATATGAAAATATAATTTTTATAATATTTTTTCCTTTCACTTTAATTTCTACCATTTTCATGTTCTGGTTTTTTCTCCCTAACCGTACAGACGCTTAACAAAACTCACCCTAATACGGACAACACCTGCCACGCCCATCGAATGGGCTCTCATCTCCATGATCACCGCCATGGAAACCAATCTTAATATCAGCATTGGAAAATCATCATTCCTCGTGAATATGAAATGTGATACAGATGCCCATTTTTGAATTGCCCATGGCATCAGGAAGGGTATTAGATAACAAACCATAGGTGAGATGGGTTTTATGGGCTGGCCATCTTGGGTTGCCATCTAAGAAAGTGTAAAGAGATACTGTATGGAAGTAGTTATTGCCATGGTGGTGTCTTTTCTTGCCTGCTCGCATGGAGTTGGTAACCAAATTCATTGAGGTACTTTTTATGCTCATTGTCCACTTTTTTTTTTAGGCAAGGCGTGTTCGAATTAATTTATGCACAATTCAACTAATTTTTTCTTGGATCCAATCAAATGTAGGTCATTAATGTCGAGACTGTAGTATTTGATGAGTCCAAATCTAACCGAGTCAGACCTAATAAATCAAGTAAGTCAAAGTCAGTTAAAAGACAGGTCAAGACCAGTTCGTAAATTTGACTCAACCCAAGATTTGAAGAGTCTAAGAAAAATTAGAGCACGCGAAGAGCAATTATTGGGATACTCACTCTCGAAAATTAAGACAACATTTTATGACACTTACTTTTTTGTAGCTACCTGGAGAATTAGTAATTTGTTCTCACATGACCGCCTTAACCAAGGCTTTATGCCTATAAATTGTAAGTTCTCTCTATATGAGAGGGCATCTCTTAATCTATCTCTACACACCTTATACATAACTTTTCTCTTTCATAACTATTGTAACTCTCTCGGAACTAATCAGTATTCTCTCTCTTGTTTACCTTACTTTATCAATAAAGGTCTCTCGGTCACTGTTGTCATTTCTCGAAGTGGTGTAGGTCATTCTAACTAAATCACTATACATCTGTGTGTTAACTCGATATTTATATTATTACCATTGATTGCTCTATTAATTGTCTATTCATTACACTTTATCACACACTCGATTATTGATCTTGTATGAGATTATTTTGTACATTATCAGTATTTATGGGAAATAAATATTTCATGATCTGATTCCAAGAGTTACTAAGATTTAAATTCAAAATGTTTGAATTTATAATTCGTTTATATTATCACTTGACCGGGCGACTCTTATGACACCTTGCAAATGCTTGATAAAGTCGAAAGGAGAGGGTTTTTTGACCTTTTTTTTGGCTCTTCTACTTTTGCATGTTACATTACAAGAGAGAGTAGAAAGAGGAGGAAGATGAATGGAAAGAGCTTAGAAATTATAGGTGCCATGACCGGGCGACTCTTATGACACCTTGCAAATGCTTGATAAAGTCGAAAGGAGAGGGTTTTTTGACCCTTTTTTTGGCTTTTCTACTTTTGCATGCTACATTACAAGAGAGAGTAGAAAGAGGAGGAAGATTAATGGAAAAAGCTTAGAAATTATAGGTGCCATGACCGGGCGACTCTTATGACACCTTGCAAATGCTTGATAAAGTCGAAAGGAGAGGGTTTTTTGACCCTTTTTTTGGCTTTTCTACTTTTGCATGTTACATTACAAGAGAGAGTAGAAAGAGGAGGAAGATGAATGGAAAGAGCTTAGAAATTATAGGTGCCATGACCGGGCTTGTGAGTTCATGATGTTTACGTTACGTTGTCCTTTCAACTATTGATTTCTCATATTATTCCCTCAGTTACCTACATTGGTTTTATGCTGTCCAAAACGCAAATTTCCATTATTTTTTGGACTATAAATGTCAACATCTTGGAGAAAAATGAAACAAAATCACTCGGTTCAATAGATAAAGTGAAACAAATTTCTAACGGATGGTAATCTTTGGGGCAATATGAAACTCATAAAAGTAGTTGAATGCAAAATATGAGAAAAATGATGTTTGAGAGGATAAAGTGACACAAAGCTCATAGTTTGAGGGAACAAAATGTAATTAACCCAAAGACTATATTGACGCTGAAAGTTAGGCAGTTTCCAAGTTTTTTTTTTCGTCCAGTTCTTTCCATGGAAATGCGGCTTTTACTTGGTCCACAGAATCAATCAATGCATAATTGGCGATTTTCTTAAAAAGTTAAGTACTTAATTCTCAAAGCAGAAAGTGTTCAACGGTTTAACCTTTTATAATTAAGTTAACTTATTTTTCAGATATTAGCTTTGTAATTATCAAACAACGTGATTTAATGCAGTATGTAAATTTCAGTGGGCAAACAGTCCACGAATTAGAAATTTAGCATTCAGTTTTCAATATTCAACTTTCAATTTTATCAAACACCACTTTAGTACTATACAGTTAACACATGAAAATGTCATTTGCGTGTTTCGCGGAAAGAGGGTTTGTGTTAACGATGAGGTTCTCAATGAAATAATATTTTTAAATTTTGTAACTTGAGTCGTACTTAATTTATATCTAATCCATTTATAATATGGTCGGTATCGTCAATGGGTTGTACTTAGTCCGATTCATATTGTGCTTAGTTTATTTCGTATTAATCGATTTATTAAGTGAATTTGACGGTCACCAAATTATGATTTGTCTATTAAGACTAAAATTTTGTGTTTGTTTCGTGTCAGATTAGTGAATCGTACGGATGATTGTCAACCATTAAAAATTATGATAAGTATAAGTATGTCGAAGTTGATCGACAATCATAAATCTTGTGTTTGATTGATTTATATCTATTAATTATGAAAGATTTTACAAGTATTAAAATTTTTATCGAAAGATACGATACTGAGAAATCACTTTTTAGGATCATATCTAGACGAAAAAAAATTGAATAGAAGCCTAGTAGAAGCAACTGATAACGTGTATTGACCAGTTTCGATTATGCGTGTAAAATGAATAAACCAATTATGGGCTACGTGTGTAACATACTTTTTCTTCTGCTTTGATTTCTCATCTTCGATTATGGATGTTTTAATAAATTTATTTAACGGTTTTAAATAGATTTATTAAACGACTGCTAATATTCTTCTCAAAATCATTTAGAGTGTACCGTATTTTGAGGCACGGGTTACCCCTAATATAAATTAATATTGGCTAACTCTTAAGATGATTTAGTGGTTGAGTCTGGTCAGAACTCTCAGGTTCAATCTTTTCTCACACCTTTAAAGACTAGCTATCCTTGTCCTTTTATGGACATGCTCTAATTCAGTACAATCTTCTTTAGCTACGGTGGTCGACCACTAAATTCGAGTGAATAGTTCACACAAGCCTGACAAGTCTGATAACCTTATAGGAAAAAAAAAAAAAAACTAATATTGCCTGATCTGAGAAGTCTTTCTAAGTTGAGAAAAACTTTTTCAAGGTTCAAAGTACCATCGGAGAAAAGGTCATTTATTAACATCTATTCAAAATTTCAAACTTAAAGAAAATCGTCAATTATAAATTAATTGTCTGTGGACCAAGAAAAAAACTCGGAAACAGCCAAACTTTCAGAGTCAATATAATTTTTGGATTAATTATATTGTCCCCTCAACCTATAAACTTTGTGTCATTTTATACCCTTAACCATCTTTGTTTCTCATATTTCACTTTTAACTATTGTTATTAGTTTCACTGTGTCCCAATGGTTAACATCCTTTAAAAATTTGACAAAAAGTTATTTCACTTTGTACCCCAAATTGAGTGATTTTGTTTCACTTTTTAACATTTGTCGTCTAAAAGATGATGAATGTTTGTGTTTTGCATAGCGTAAAACAGTGTAGGTAGTTGAGGGACTAATGTGAGAAAATCAAAAGTTGTGGGGCAAAGTAACATAAACATCATAGTTTGAACCTTTTTTTACCTATAAATAGAACTAGGACATATCATATGAGTAAACATATAAGCCAACAAGCACTCACAAAGCTCAACCATGGCAACTATAATTCCTAAGCTCTTTTCATTCATCTCCCTCCTCGTCCTACTCCTTCCTCTCCTTGCCTATGCAAAGGTTGAAGAACCAAAAAAGGGTGATAAAAAACCCTCACCTTTCGAATTTATCAAGCATTTGCAAGGGTGTCACAAGGGTGAAAAGGTTAAAGGGCTCAATGAGCTCAAAAAGTACCTTAACAAATTTGGTTACTTGAATTATCCTCACTCTGAAAATCAAACGACCCATGCCCACGATGACGATTTCGACAATTTCCTCCAGTCTGCCATCAAAACTTACCAACTGAATTATCATCTTAACGCCACCGGAAACTTGGATGGTCCGACAGTGTCAAAGATGGTGGTGCCTCGATGTGGGGTGGCTGATATCATCAATGGTACTAGTTCAATGCGAGCAGGCAAGAAAAGGCACCACCATGACAATGACAACACCTCCTTCCACACAGTCTCTCACTATACTTTCTTTGATAATAACCCAAGATGGGCCAGCTTTCCACCTCACATATGGATTTTTATCTAATACCCATCCTGATGCCATGGGTGCCGTGGCCCGGGCATTCGAAAAATGGGCTTCTGTATCACATTTCACATTCACGAGGACGGGTGATTTTGCCAATGCTGATATTAAGATTGGTTTCCATAGGGGTGATCATGGAGATGGGAATCCGTTCGATGGGCGTGGCGGGGTCTTGGCCCATTCCTGGCCACCAACTGATGGAAGGTTTCACTATGATGCAGATGAAGTGTGGTCCGTTGGGCCAGTGGCTAATGCTTTTGATTTGGAGACGGTTGCATTGCATGAAATTGGGCACCTTCTTGGACTTGGGCATAGCTCAGTCCAGGATGCAATAATGTTCTCAGGCATTCCTCCTGGAGTGACCAAAGGTTTGCATGGGGATGATATTGATGGAATTAAGGCTTTGTACAACGTTTGAGAAGTAATCATATATAAAGGTTGAACCTTATTTAGCTTGCATTGATTTTTGATGTTTCACATTATTAACTACCTTGGTTCTCAGCATAGGTCTATTTTTGCTTCAACAAATCAGAATGCTGTACCATTTCCATCTTCTAATAAGAAGAGTTATGTTCTTAAAAGGCTACTGTTGTAACTCAAAAGCTTCCTGCATTTTCACATTCTCCAATAATTCCAATCTGATCATTGTCTGAATCTGAAGTTAACTGAGCTTGAATATCCAACTGCTTCATCTCTGCCCCAAGCGGCCTGTACCCATTCTCGATTCCATTTGGGTCTTTTCTTTGAAGGTAATTAATCTATTTTTTGGTCGAGTAGTCATCAATACCGAGATTAGGATATTCATGAGAGATAAATCTCTCATAATTAGACCTCAGGAAATTATCAAGGTTCAAACTCAGGATATCTGAGTTTTTTTCCCTTGAACTACCTCGGTTAGATACAAAAAATTCTTCATCCAAAGCAAATAGATAGATTAAATTAAGGATTGAAGAAGGTAATTGGAATGAGCATTTTATATGAGTCAAGAGAACCATAACAGAGCAGAGATTGCAATTACTTCTAATTGGAGGGCCGAAATTGTCATTTGAATTCAGATCGTTTTGATTTGGGATATTAGAGAATTGAGGATGAAGAAAATAAATACAATTTGATTTACTTTTGAAAGTATTTTTTTTATTTTTATTTTATAAATAGTACACTTTTGATGACCTAATCTTCTGTTTTTTTTACGGTTAAAAAAATTTGTTCTTAACTTTAAAACTCTTTTTACTTCAGGAAGAGACTCATTAGTTGATGTAAGATAAGAATTAGTAATTATTCAATTTTTTTTATTCATTTGTTATTATTTTACGTTAATTTTTAGGATTAATTTCTTTTTTGATTAATTTTACTTTCAAGATTAGTATTGTTATTCTATTAGGAATAGTATTCTTGATTCTATTAAGAATTGTATTCTTTAGCCTATTAGGAATAGTTCTTTTATTCTATTATAATTAGAATTTCTTAGTCTATAAAGATTATGACTATAAATAAGGTTGCAAGCTATATGCTCCCTTTGGTAGGAAAGATGAAAAGTAGGAATGATGAAAAGTAGAAGAAATATACTTTTTATCCTTCAAGGATGAAAAGTAGGAGAGATATACTTCATTTCCTTTGTGTTTTGTTGGATGGATGAAAAATAAAAATGACTATTTTTTTGTACTGGATAAGATTAAGGGTAACAATTGAATTGTGTCGTGTCAGATTTGTGTTAAGTCATTACGGGTTTGTGTCGAATATTAGTCAAACCTAACTTAACTCATTTAATTAATTGTGTCGTGTCGAATTGCGAGTTGACCTATTTATTTTCGTATCGAGTTCGAGTTGTGTTATCGTGTTGAGTCGAAAATTTGCACACTTAATTAAGATGGAAAAAATATATATTTTTAATTTAAAATTTTTATCTTTATTTTTTTTTAAATTTTTGAATATAAATATATATATATATACATATTTTACCATTGGATTTTTATATGAAATTAATGTATACATAATATATGCATATATAAAAAAATATATAGACAAATAAGATACATTTCAACACAAATAATTAACTTTTCATCCACTTTTCTTCCGATTTTAGAGGGATTGATTTTGGTGAGTTAGAAGGAAAATTAATTCATCAACTTTTTCATCTTTTTACTTTACTTCCTTACTAAACATGATGTTTTATTTCTCCTTCTAACTTTTCATTCTTCCAACTTTTCATCATCTTATTTTTTTATTGTACCAAACGGAGTATTAGAATTGGAAGATATTTTTTTCTTTTTTTTTTTTTTTTTTAGGTTGAAGAAAAGTAGATACAAAGCAGAGCACGTAAAGGGAAAAAACTGACTACGAAGTTAACTACAATGCTAAGCATACCGAGTCTACTAAGCCCCTTGTGTGGACTAGAGCTTGGTTGTCATGCATCACTTCTTGTCTAACCATTTGCGGTAGATCATTTACACTCAACAAGCCTGTGTATTGTGTGGCAAGTCCCCATTTAGCCAAGGCACGAGCAGCTTTGTTCGAATCTTTGTAAGCATGAGTCATTGCCCAATCCGAATGTTGCGATAAGAGGTGTTTTACATCTAAAACAACCGTGGCAATGGTCCATGAAACTTTGACATGAGAAAGAGTTGCAGCAAATACTACTTTTTGGGAGTCCCCTTCTAGGGTAACATAGCACCATTCTTTTGTCTAGCAGACATTGCTTTCGCAATTGTAGGGGCTACCTCATTGTCTTGCATCACTGTAGCTTCGAGTACTTCCCCCCATTCATCTCTTGCGATTACTGCCAGGCTGGGAATATCTTTTTATTCAATATTATTTATTTTTATTTTTTAAATGATTATTCTAAACTCTGGTGCGCTAGATTTTTTTGAGTATTAATGTTAGTGATACTTTTATTGTGTTCCGTTGCGTCAAATGGTATCAGAACAAGAAATTGTGTTGTTCAATGACACATAACGAGATAATCCTTTTTTACGAAGATCGTGGGGGTGAAAGTTTTGTGGAGAGTGTTAGAGAGGCAACAACGACATGTTGACACACAATTTCAAGAAATTCGAGATTTGCTCATGGGATTCAAAATATGAATTGTATTTACGTTGGTGATATTTTTATTATATTTTGTTGTGTCAAATTGTATCAGAGCAAAAAATTGTCTTGTTCAATAACACATAACAAGACAGTCCTACTGACGGAGATCGAGGGGTGAAAGTTTTATGGGGAGAGGCAAGAACAACAAGGCAGTCCTACCGACGGAGATCGAGGGGGTGAAAGCTTTATGGGGAGAGGCAACAACAACATGTTGACAGACAATTTCAGGAAATTCAAGATTTATGAGGAAATTTTTTATTTAATATTATTAATTTTGTTTGTTTTTTTGAGAGAATGTTATGGTGCGTCAAATTTTTTAAAGTATCAATATTACAGCATCTCCAAGAGATAAGTTAAAGGACACACAATCTTCAATTTTTAGCAATTTAATCCAAAAATTTTATTCCAACAGATTATCTTCAAAATACTAAAAATAACATTTTGCTATAATGATACTCTTTATATTTAGAGTATTACTATAGCGATATGTAAAAATTTTTAATTATATATTTTTTTCTTTTCCTCTCCTTTCCTCCATTTTCTCTCTTTCTCCTTTTCACTATTTCTAAAAAAATACAAAAAGAATAAAAAATAATATTTAAAATGAGTAATTAAAAATATAAAAAATGTATTGGAGTGTGTATTAAAAAAGTGAGTAAAAAATCTAATTAATCATATTTTTACTGTATTTGGGTGTGTCACTAGTCTTGCAAGTATACCTCTTAAATGCAAGACACGGGTCTTTTAACTGTAATGTATTACGATTGGAGAGGACAATAGAATTCCTGTTATTATTTGTTTCGCTGTCGTAGAGTCACTCCAACCCACCCTCTATTTTCTCATTTTTAGTAAGTCAAACACTAAACATATTTCTCAATTTGCTTTCAATTTTCTATTTCGTTTAAATGACTCTTCAAATGTAGAGAGTCATTTAACCTCTTCAAATTCTTTTTGTCTCTGTCTCTATATATATGTTATAATTTTTTTAAAATTATTAAAAGTTAGTAAAAATTGAGTGAAATAATTAAATAAAATAGAAATCTTAAAAAAAAAACTCGAAAAAATGACTAATTATATATATATATATATATATTTTTTTCTCTCTCTCTCTCTCTCGATACATTATTTGGCAGGGCCTCACAGAAATCAAGAAAAATGAGAATCAAAGGCTATGTGTTTACTTTGTTCTTCGTTTTGGGGGTCATTCAAGATTCGGTTGATGGACGCCCTCTATTACTGTCCTTATCCAGACCCCACCCTGATAGTGCTGCCGACTTCGCTCGATGGTTGGTCTCTCAGAATTCCTGGGGCGTCCTCAAGTATAATCTCTCTTTCTCTTGCTTGTATAGCTTCTATTTCTGTTTACACATAATGGGTTTTTGCTGATTATACAAAACTGTAAATATATGTGTAGTGTTTTATTTGATTTGACTATTGCTTATGTTGATTGCCCACTCTGAATCGTTGTGATAAGGGTTGCTCATATATAGTTCGGTTTATTTTTCAGTATTTGAGCTTTGAAGGTTCATTTATGGATGTACGCAAGGGATAAGGGGAATTAAAATTGTATGTTTATTATGAGTGAGTTTGGGCTTCTTGTGTATTAGTTTTTGATGAGTATGGTTTAATGGTTAATGACTTAGATGCCTTGACACTACCATTTATTGCAAATTACTAATTGATTGTAGTTCATCTTTGAGAATAAATTCCTTATCAATAAAAGTTGTTCACACATCTCTCCTGCTATACAAAGCAAGTTACTTGAAGACTTGTTTTAACAAGTAGATACCCAGGAATGAACCCTGTGGAACCCCAAGTTTCAAGATTGATATTTGAGCTAAATTAGTTCATGACTTTTGTATAAGACATTGCAACTCTTTACCAAAAGTTGAGTTTATTGTAATATATTTGTGTGTGATGCTTCGGAATAGAAGCTGATATGGTCCTTCTATTTTTGCAGTACCATTGCAAGTGATTTGGGAGGAGCACCTTTTGGGTACGTTTTTACCTATATGTAGTGGGAAACTATGGTTGCTCCAACTTGTATTCGTAATAAATCGCGAGAGCATTAGATTAGTATATAGAACAATAGAGACTTATAGTCTTATAACAGAGAATATATAGAAGTGAACCAAAAAAATCAATTACAACAAATCAGCTTGTTGTATATGATGGTATGTTACGTCTTGTATACATTGTCATATGTTGACAATCGAAGACCTGAAGTTTCTAAAAGTTCAGATTCCTGGAGATGCACACATTAACTTGTGATTTGATGATCAGGCCAAACTAATATGCTTGCTATGTATCTCCCACTTCGGGGTGGTGGATTGAGGTAGGGGAGGAGTGAAGTTACTTGACGTTGCCTTGAGTCCTGAATTTTTTGAAGTTTTAGAGCACTGCATTCATTCATGAAAGCCAGGGTTTCTTCTCGTTACACAACACAATGGTACTTGTATCAGAAACAGTTTGTGTCATTTAGTATGCATAACCGCACCTCGTCTTAGAATTGACCAAAATGTTTTGTGTCTGACTCTTGCTTCTGATACTAATTACCAGAAGTTAATATAGTATTCTTATGCTCTCTATTATTATTCCTCACTCAAAAGAAATCTAAATACCATGCAGAAATGTGGTTTCATATAGTGATGGGCTACCCAACAAAGGCAGTGGCATCCCATATTTTTATTTAACTACCCTTGATCCAACTGCAAGTAATGCATTGAAAGACCAGAGATCATCCTTCACGATCAGTGAGTACCCTATTGGAACTTGTGGCAAGACGGACCCCGAGAACCCCACTTGTGCAAAAATTACACTCACGGGAAAGGTGTGTTTCCCCATTAATTCTTAAGTCTGTCATGTATGGCAACTGTATACGTGGCTTTATGAACTTTCTGTATCAGTTTCCAACTTTCCCTCATACAATGTCTATCCTTGTACTAGATAACTTATCCTTATGCATATTAGCTGTGACCCAAATGCCATACAATTCAGAGCAACTGAATTGTAGGATTTTCATGATACGAGTGATCTGGGACTTGAGTATGATATTCATGGCACCTTGTTGATCATACCTACCCAGACGGGCGGTTACAATGCAATTGTTTCACTTTGATGTGTTTGTGTGAACGAGTTCTTGCTAGATAGTGAGGTGTCTAACAACTGTTTTAAACACAACCTGATGATAGCCTGTTTGAATTGGTGATGTTACCACTTACTAGGAGATAGCATACTTGTATATATCTAATAGCAATTCATTTAGAGTTGCTCTCTCAACTGCTTTTTATGTAATTCATTGTGTCTCGAGTGTGTGTAGTATGTAAAGATTCTCACAAGCCTGTGCTCCACATGTAGACCTCAATTGATTTTAACTACTGTTAAGGATTAAACAATGAATGAGAAGTGTGTCAGTCATCTTTCTGCTGCTTAATGAGGCAAAGAGTTGATCCCTTTTTGGTTTAATCCTGTGCAGTGAGGACACTTTTGATACCAACACCATTACCATGTAGCCCTACGAAAAAGTCTGCTTAGAAATATTTTTGGCACCGTTTATGAAGTTGAAATTTGCTGAATTATGTCAGTTCGTGATAAATTAAGACTGGATGCCACTTGATATAATTGGATCATATTAATTTGGTTTAATTGCATTAGGGGAATATTTGTCGACAAATATGTGATATTGTCAATTTGTCATAAGCAGCACAAATTCATCCATGAGAATAATTTGACGGTGGCAGTTGGCATAATGTTTTACTGAGCTTTCCTGCTACATTGTCCTTGCTCATTAAGGCTAAATTTGACTAAAAGTTGCATCGATGATTTTCCAGTTGAAGTTACTTGATGGAAACTCTGATGAAGTTGAGTATGCACGAACCGCTTTGTTCTCAAAGCATCCTGAGATGAAAGGTAAATAAATACTTTATCTATGGAAGCCCTTCTCTTGTCACTTCTATTCTTTTGTTCCCTAATGGTGGTTTACTTTCCTTCCAATGGTTGGCAGACTGGCCTAAGGGTCACAATTTCCAGATCTTCAAGTTGGAAATCGAGGATATTTTTATGATTAATTGGTTTGGTGGTCCTAAACCGCTTACTGTGAAAGAGTACCTACATATTGAAATGTGAGTTTATGAGCATTAATAGCCATATCTCCAATAATTTTGCAGAGCCAAAGTTTTTGCCCCAGCTGATGCATTTTTGTTTCACAAATCATTTGCAGGAACAAAGTTGCATTTGTTGTTTGAATCCTATTCTGATCTGCATTCCTCTCAGGTGTTTTCTTGCTGGACATGAAGGAGCTTAGGTGAATTAATGAACCTTTTAAAATAACATGTTACATTTGTGTATGTCAAAGACAGTATGGCTCAGCTTATTGTTTTGTACAAAAATGCCAAGGCAATTAAATTGTAAATTGGTGCTTGTGTTGACAATGCTTCACTTCAATTCATGAATGTATATGTACAAACATACTAAGATCTGTTCTTTTAATATTTCCAGCAAAACATAGTCTTCTTTTACGAGGAATGGTTCTATGGGCTCAATGCTAGGATTATTCCTCAGACATGCACCACCTTACTAGAACTCCATTAAAGCCTTGTTTGGGTTGATCTTTGCCAGACTGCCTAACACTAGCCAAACCACATTAACATGTGGCATGTGCAGTACATTTGTGTTTTTTTTTTCCGAGTTGTTGAATCATGATATTATGTGTCGAGGATGACTTCATATCACTTTTGTAACAGCAAAGATTTTGAGTTTCCAGTGATGACTTCTTTAATGTCAATATGGTTTCTTAGGAGTCCTCTGTAGATATCCTGCTTATGGACACTTGCTTGTGGTGTTTCTAGCCTGTACTCTTTTAGGATACTGTAATGGCAAGTACTTTACTTTAGTCAAATTCCTTTTTTTTGGATTGTAAATAATGTCTGGCTTGTCAGATTGTGTGCCTTTCACTCCAACATGGCAAAAATTATTTAAATTAGAGTGAAGAGGTAATGTGCTTCTTATGGGCTAGGAATGTTGGATGATATGAAGTGGTGCGGAAGATGAACCAAAAGATGTGGCGAATAAGAGGCCATATTGGGTATTTTCTAGCTTCTTGAGGGCTGTGACAAAGGTTCCAAACCCTAGCCTGTTGATTTTAGTAATTAGTGCTAAGTCCAAGGCCCACAGGAGTTGGTATCATTGAAAATAATAACAATTTACCATGGTTTGAAATCGTGTCCAACACTCTCTCACTTTCAGAGGTCTGATTTTTGTTTGCCGTCAAATGAAAAGTGAGCTCATAGAGCTTTTTTGGTATTCTACGAAAGATGTGTGAATTAAACTATTTTTTTTCTTTCAATATGCGCGAGTTGCAGGATTGCAAATTGCTTTGACATATCAAGTGCAGAATATTCAATACCTTTCTGGCATGGAACCTATTTCATTGGGAATTTGATGAGTTGACTCACCTGTAGAGTTACTCCAAGTATTGGTTGACGTAAAATAGATAGTGGATCAGTTTTTATCTTTTGTTGAATTTTTTTCACAGCTTGATAGATAATTTGATAAGTCATTGATTTTTTTTTCTATGTTTTAAAATACGGTTAATCAACATGTTAACTAATCGATTAAGATTTTTACAAAAAAAAGTACTTTAAAATATAATTCTTAAAAACATTATTCGATTCAAGAATAAATTTTGATACGGTACAAAACAACAAACTTTTCGTATTGAGGGAGAATGAATGCTAAAGAAGAGATTGCAACAAACATTATTGGTTTTGTAAAATTGAACTATGAAATCGATATAAAAGTTTTATTTTTCTTCTCTTTTTCCCCATTAGTTTTACATTTTATGATTGGTATTAATCTTTTTTCATTTAAGCCGTGCGTTTAACATAGAGGATGTGTGATAGAGGTCATGTTAGCTAAGGCCTAATGAAGAAAAAGAGAAAAAAAAATAGATAAAGAATCACCTTCCTAAAATTTGGATATTTTTCTAAACATTCTTTTTTGAATTTATATATGTTATTTTTAGCTTAAATTACATAAAATAACCTACAATAAACATGTCAATATACCTTCTTTAGAGTTAAAGCTTAAGTTACCTAAAAACATTAAATAGAGATAATTCAATTGGGCCTGTTTGGAACTGATTTTTTTGGTGAAAGTTACGGTTTGAAAAATTTTGCAAAAAAATAAGAGTTAAAAAAATCTCTCAATCGTTTTGGGTATTTTTTAAAAAGCTGAAAATAGCCCATTTGGAATGACTTTCTGATTTTTTTTTTTTTTTTGTGTCAAAATAAAAAAATAATTATATGAATGTATACATTATGCATAATAATTCCCAAAATATGAATTTTAATTTTTTTACCTTATTAATAATATTTATGAATATAATAAATTAAAAAATTATGTGAAACCCACGACAAAATTTAAAAAAGTTAAAAGAAAAATTTATAAAATCAATTTATTGAATCAACTTAAATAAGTTTTTTGAGGTCCAAAAGGGGGCTGAATAGAGTGGTAAAAAGGTTAATACACAAACAAATTTGACGTATTTTATTCCAAAACTCTTAAAAATTACCTATTTAAGTTAGATCCAAACGGGTTCAATAATAATATTAAATTTTTCCAAATTAAATCACTTGATTAAGGGCAAATAATATTTTTTCTATATCAAATTAAAAGCAGGAGCGCGGTTGACTACTGTTATCACTTCCGCCCATACTAATTAATCAAATTACAAAGAATCCAGACCCACACGGGCCACACCCACTACCGCCACTGGATCTATTGCTTACATTGTCTTGCACATCAGCATGACGAAATAAAAAAGAATTTATTTATTTTTTAAATATTAGGATAGAATATGAATCCTTACCTCAGGTTAGATTAATATTTTGCTATGATATCTCATTTTTTTTTCCAATCATTTAATTAAATTTAAGAATGGTACCAAATTTTTTTTTTTCATTTTAATAATGTTATCCCCTTACTCCGATTTTTATATACCCACGAGTAGGCTTGTTAATGGACCGGATTATGATCCGAATTTAAATCCGATTAATTAAATATGAATTAATATTTTTTTTTATAGATAATCCAAACCTAAATCTGAATTTGATATCTTATATTTCATGGGTATAGACTTGGATATACTTATATCCAATTCAATTATGATTCGATCAGAATTATTTATATATATATATTTATATAAATATTAAAAAAATTTATTTGAAATTTAAGTATAATTTGATAAAATTTAATTAATTAAGTTATTTGAATTAAATCAAATTCAAATTATTAACGGATTTGGACATATACCACAAAAAAAACATCCGATTATTGAATTAAATTTTTGAAATTAAATTTAAATTTGAATCAATCAGAATCTGATCTAAACTCAATCCGTTGACAAATCTACCCAAGAGAAGGTTTAACCTTTTTTAAGGGCTTGGGACAAAGAATTGTGATATTTTTTGGGCATTAATGCTTTTGGGACAGTAGTTTTATTTAAATTTAATTTATTTATCACATATGATGATTTAGCTTATTATTATCATTAGAATAATAATGAATTATATCTAATATCAGAACCCAATCGAAAATAAAACTCTTTTTTTCGTCTCCTTTCCCTTTATTTTTTAGTATTAATATTAGCAAGATAATAATTGTTACAAATGAAAATGATATTGACATTGCAAAATCAAATCCAAAAAAATTAATTTTAACACTTCAACAAAATGTGATCTTGGGGATGAATTGTTACAAAATCATTTAAGAATATAAATAATAAAAGTGTAATACTACACAGATTTAAAAAATTAATTTAAAAATTAGACTTGGTGATGTAATTATTTTATTTATCATTGATTTAACTATGAGTTCCAATAATAGTAATTTATTAAGTCAATTTTTTTAGTCTATTTAGCATTTTTCGTAAGAAAAAGAGCAATGCCATAAAAGAGAGGGAGAAATATCGATTATAGTGTTTATACCACATTATTAAAATTTAATGTCAATTGTTTAGTAACAAATTAATATATAAGTAAGTGGTTTTTATTAATTTAGTATATGAAAATAATTATCAAATAGAAGTCTTTTATTTTATTATAAATTTATTATTAAGTAATAATATCAGATGATAATTTTAATGTAATTTCATTGTTATATTCAATATTTATTGTAAAATATTGGGTTGATAGTTTAGCGGCATTATTTGGACTCGATTAGAATTTACAAAACTCGTTTTATTTATATGTATAATAATTGTACTACTTTGACTCAATTTAAATTCGAATCATGTGTACTCGATTTATTCTTTAAACAAAGAAGCTGGATAATGGCCACCCCCAATACTTTGACACGCGCTATGGAAGAGAGTGGAGGTGGAGATCCTGGCAACATAATAAGTTATTGATTGTAAAAGGTCTTTGAGTTTCATCACTGACAATAATTCCTTCCCCCCCCCTCTCTCTCTCTCTCTCTCTCTCTCTCATCAGAAATACAGAAACCCTCAGAGGAGAAAGAAAGAGACTGCACGAAAAACGTTGAGCCTGTTTTTTTCTTTTTTTCTTTCAACGCCTGAACCCAAAAGCAATCATCATGTCTTCTGCAACACCATCACCTTACCTTCTTCACCCTCATCATTGTTTCCACAGCCTTAAAGCATCATCATTATCAGCACCAACAAAGACGACAAAGAAGAAAAAGAAATATAAAGATCAGAAAGATGAACAAGTCTTTTGATGATGATGAAGAAGAAGAAGCAGTTAAGTAAGGGGTCTTCTCTCTTTCAAAGACTTGAGATAAAGTCGCTATCTTTTTTGGGGAATCAAGCATCTTGGTCCGATCATTTGCTAGATCAAGCAAATGACTTTTGTTCTTATTACTACGACTAGCTTTCTGCGTTTATGGGTGTCCTCCTTTTCCGTCTCTAAAAGTGCTATATATCGTTGGATTAAAAGGGTTGTCGTTTAGGGGTTTGTTTATTAGGTCACTGAAGAAGACAGCTGGTAAGAAGGCATCATTATCGTGAGCAGGACTCTTAGTTTTCTGTGTAGGAAGACCAGACCCAGATCTCTCTCTGTCTCTCTCTGGTTTTGTTGTGTTGTGTTGCTTGTTTCGTGTGGGTTTTCATTGTTTGTTTGGATCTTGTCTGAGTGCATATTGATGGGATCTTTGTTTTATTATATTTGAAATATTGAGATGAATGAATCCTCTTTTAGTTGAACTTGAATCCTTAAAAATTCACAATAATTGTTTCCAGTTCATATTAATTGTCCAGAGCTTTGATTTAGCTGGTTGCTCAAGCAGATCATCAACAAGATCTACCATGATCTTAGTTTAAGGTACGATCTCTGGGTTAGGGTTTTCTGATCTCTCTTGACTGCATACCTATTGTTGTCTCAATTTCTTATCGATCTCCTTGGTCAATCCAGAATAGAAATAGATGAAGAACTCACATAAGAAGCTTGTGCATGTTACTGAAAATTTAGGTAACACACACACACACAATATATATACCAGGGTAAGACGAAGAAATGAATACATAGTTTTGTAGTAAGTCTTCTCAGGCAATGACAAACCGACACTGACTGGAAACAAAAAATCACCCAGAAAAACCTCGCTATGTTCTCAAAATGATTTGTATGGATAGTTTTGAGTCTGCATTAAATCTTACCTCGGATTAGTATATA